CAACCAATGTCACACACCCTATTCAGAGACCTTAGGGACCAGCACCAAATACCCTATAAAATCATTGTATGACCCCTTTAATATATCTTTCACTGGCCAGATGAATCTCCTCAAAACAACAGTCCTCCCCTTCATCCCATGAAGGAGGCTGTGTAACTCATTCTTATCTCTCAAGACCTTCGTTTAGAGCCTGTGAGGCTAAGAACAGACATACCTTAAGATGTTTTACTCCACACATGCCTGCAATCGACTTACCAGGTGGGAGGCATTGGGCATTATTTTTGATCAGAAGTCAGATCCTTATCATTAAATGATATGATGTTTAAATTCATCCCATGTTGTTTGATATTTTATTCTATACTGATATTTTCAAGTCTTATTTCTGTTACTTCTAAAAACATGGTGTGTAAGATCAGGGTTAGACCAGAATACATGGTAACATTCTCTGGATGACTGATTGAATTGAGTCACGGTGGCTTGTACTTTAAATTGACATTATAAAAATGGGCACTTTTAGATATTATAGATAGTATCAAATATTAATTGATTGATTGATTAACTTTTTTGATCTCACATTGAAGAAATATACTCGTTACATCAGCTCAAATATTCAAAGAAGAAGAATGTGCCAAAGGAAGAAAAAGGTGCATTGGATATTAGTTTAGTTCAGTTTTATTAGGATCCCCATTAGCTGCCAAATAAATGGCCACTAATCTTCCTGGGGTCCTCACATAAAGAAATTACATTACATTATAAACACACCATTAAAAAAATTGCACAAGTTGCACATTAGGAAAAAATAGGAACATGAAAAAGAGTAAAATAAAAAAAAAATAAAAATGAAAAAAAATACACAGTATATACAGAGCGTCGACATTTAAAATAAATATACGCAACCTAGAAAATACAACTATAAACATTTATAAACGCATGTACTTTTCCTTCCGTATGTATATAGGTTATGTATGTAACCCTATTTTGTCTTTACTTCAAGCATTTGTTTATTCAGAAATGTTAATTTACTTTTGAATCATCAAAAAGTAAAAAGATTTATTGATTTCTAAAGTAGTTGAGAGGTACAGTGCTATTTGTACATTTGAATAAAATCATTTAGATAAAGAGAAGTCTTTTTTTAAGTAAAGATTGAAATACAGCGACCCCAACCTCTGCAGTCCATTTCCCTGTTCTAGGGATTGCTTATTCTACTTCCTTAAAGTTTTTTTAATCCTCTATTTAAGCCTTGAAAAACATCTACAGGCATATATATATGATGAAACAATTGCCTTTAGTGTTACAGAGTGGGTCATGAAATTCTCAATTCAGTTCAGTTTATTTATATTGTGCCATTTCACAACACATCATCTCAAGGCACTTTACAGTTCACCAGATCATAAGGTCAGATTGACCCCGTTTACACTACCCTTAAAAAACTGAGCCGAGACCGGTCCGAGCTCAGTAACTGAGATAACTTGTCGTGTGTTAACGGAAACAACCTGAACTGAACCGAGATAGACATAACCGGACCGCGCTAACTGCAGACCAGTTCCCGAGGTGGGTTCGGCTCGGTTTTTTCCTGGCTCGGTTCTCTGATAACAAGAGCGCATGAGCCGA